CAATGTGCTTGACGTGCTGCTCATCTTGCGACTTAGATTCGCCAAGGTCGTGAGGCCATCGGTCTTTGCAGACTTGCCTTGTCAGCGCTGGTTCTTATAGTCGGCATGGTTGCAGTCGGAATTCCAACGGCACTGGCACATCCTGGCTTGTGAGGAGTTCACTTCATTAAATCCATCGTGTGAGCTGTCGATTTTAGTTCAAGATATCTGTACGTTTTGCTGAGGCTGCTCATAAACTTGTCGATCAAGCAGTGCTCTGAATTTTTAGTCTAAAAAGCAAGGGTCTTCATGATACCCCCAGAAAGATTGAGATCCAAGCTGGTTGGTAGCTACGTTGAGTTTCGTGACTTGTTCACATCTGGTTATATGTTCGCTACGAAATAGTGGAGCAACCAATTCATTTGCCAATCGAGACCTCAGATTCCGGCGTTTAGTTCAACTCAAGCTTGCGAGTGAAGTTGTGGCTTGAGAGACATCTAAGCCGAATCGGGGGTTTTATGATTGAGAGCAAAGGCGACGAGGTTTCAAAAAAACAGTTGAACCAGATTCCCTCTCTTTCTTTTCCCGCCTTGATTTGCGTAGACAAGTCGCCTTCCGTGGTGGGCAGCCACAGCCAAGTTGAGTAGGTGTTGAAGGTAGCGTGGTCGTTATGGTTGGTGTTCTGGATTGCCTGCGACAATGGTAACTGGATTCATTGCTGCGCTTACAGATTCAGCCCGACGCGGTGGGGGTGCGCAAGATAAGGAGACCGGGAGTAATTAGATCCTCAATGTGTTAGTCGCATTTTTTATAGCTCTCGTGTTGAAGTTGCATCTGAGGTTCACACAAATTTGGCTGTAAGAAAGAGAGAGCGTTCTGTAGTTGTGAAGTTGCCGACAAGCATCCAAGCAAGGAGAGAAATCGGTGTAATGAGACAGTGAGAGGTTTATTGTTGGGTTAAACTGGTAGTGCGGGCTTTCGCAATCACTGTACTTGTTTCTTTGTTTGAATTCTTTGACCGTGGATTCGATTCAGACGTCTCGATCATCAAACAAGCGCATTCTCTTTTCGGATCGAGTAGAGCAATACTGCAGTTATGTGACTCTTTGAAGAGGTCTTGCATCAGGAATGGTTGCCTACATACAGGAACAATGAGCCTTTTGAAGTTGGTTAGTGGTAAAAGGTGGTCTTCAAGGTTGTTGGTGTAGATCAGCTCTGAGAATAGGGCACATCAGGGAAAATGTGAGGACCTTACGCCTCGCCTTCTTTTTGGTTCCTCGTGCATTATATCTGGAGATCCAGGAGCTGCAGATTGCTCGTTGATTCAGCAAAGTTTCCAGGATGAATTTAAATCATGCATGAAATATCATGAAAGGATGAATTTAGGTAGATGAATGAATATTAATTTAACATTATAAAATAAAATAAAAAAGTAGTAATACTAATTTCTTTAATTGCATGGAATTTTTGGAGTGACTTATTAATATAAGTGTGAGTTGGTAGTAGAGATTTTGCTTGACTACTTGTGTGATTTAAAGAGTTTTAAGAGTGAATTAATTCATATTGAACAAGAGCTACAAATTCTAAAATTCACGTAGTTAATTCACTTGTTGTGAACTAAAATAAACTTCCAACTAGTGGAGGTTTATTTTAGCTCATTTGTTGGCATATGTTAGTCCATGAAATAGAGATGGTTCCATTGGTTGCAATGTTAGACTTTGACAAATGGCAAATTAAATGAGGAATATGCATGCGTATATCTCCTTCCATGCCTACCTCCATGGTAATAGTTCCCACCTCAATTGTTGTAGTTTTGCCATAGTCATGATGTTTGAATTGTAATAATTATTGCTTTTGTTTGTACTCCCAATTTAATCTTTTATTGGATCTTGTTTCCAAATAATAAACCTTATTAGCTTATTAAAAACAAACAAAATGAGTATAGATCAAACTCTTGCCTTTGCTTCATTCAACTTATCAAGGTTGTTATATATTATTCCTTCTAAGATTAAAAAAAAAAACTCAATGAGAATTTGTTTAATATGGACTAATTCCTATAGCCATTCTTTCTTTAAGATTGCCTCTATCATGATGCACTATATATGATAGTCAGCAAATCCCTATAGCTTGTTAGATTCTTAAACTTCACAATTACTCTTATTGATATGGTGTGACATTTTATATAATTGTAGTTCTAATTCTGAAATCTGATCTCTCAATGACTTCTCTTCTATCTCCTTTGTTAGTATCAACTCTATGATGTAGTTTCTTCAAGATCTTTCTTTTCAACAATTTTTCTACCTTTCTTTCTCTCCAAGTCTCTCATGTTTGATATTTTCCTATTTAACTCTTTTCAAGAGCAAGGCTACACTATATTAATCTTGGATCAAGCTGCAGAAGTCCTTCCTCTACCCAAAAATACTCAAGCTCTAACACCATGTTGTGAATAGGTCATTCAAGTATCCATAATCTACTACAATCAAAAGAGGAGGTCATCTTTGATCTTGCAAGTATTAGTACTCTCAAATGTACATGTAGAACTTAGGGATGAATGTAATTCATTAGGTTTTGTCTACAATACAAGAGTGGGGTTTGACCTAATATTACAACAGTCGCGACCCGAAAAGTCTTAGTAGCTTGTTAGGTATTGCATTCTGAAAACCGGAAGAGTCGTCACTTACCAATTCATGTTTTATTGCGAATACAGGGCTCAGTTATATATTCAAATCCGAGAGTGATTAATGTACCAGTCATGGATTTGGAGCTGCCGATGACAGGGAATAGGAACGGCTCACATTCTCCCACGTTGTCCAGTGCAATTCTGGGCTTCCGCAGTTCTCTTGCGTGATGAAACTCGTACCCTTAGTCAAATTTTTGGACTGCAATGCGGTGGGTTTTGTATAGACTCGATAATATTCTTCATTATCTGCTCTTTTTGTTAATGGTGCGTTTCTACGTGCATCAGCGCTTGCTTTGACACTTTTCTTCACCATTCCGTAAAGCGACCAACTCAGCGTATCAGTCCTAGAATTGCCAATTCTTCAAATATCACATGTGGGACAACTCGTCGAATGCAATGCTTTGATGTAATTCCTCATAGCTTTGAGAGGCTTTCTACATGATCATTTCGCAGATGACATCTCTTTAAGAACAGGAGGTTCTTTGCTTTTCTCCAGCCCGACCGTGAAATTCAGCATCCACCTTGTGAGGTGCATGGTGTGTTAGGCAGGAAATCAAAATGGCTCCTCGCACCAGAACATTTTCATAAACTCTAAACCCTTAACCCTATCTAACCCTGCACCCTGCACCCTTAACCTTTAGGGACTCCTAAAAATTGGTTGCTCATCAGTGAGCTGGTCTCAAAATCTAATGCAGCTACTCCACATCTATGTGTGTAGACATGCATGGATGATGGACGGATGAAGTAAAAAGGTCAGAGTGCGAGCTGGGTACCTGTTCTTCGAAATCGGAACGATTTGGGAATCCATGTGAAAGTAATTACATTTGTCACCGTAGTTCCCCTGTCTACTGTGTGACTTCATCTGAGTTAGGTCTAAGAGTCCACACTCCACATTTTTGCGAAGCTTTCATGGACTTCTGCATCAGGATGGATGCATTTGTGCTTGGTCACACTTTATGTGGTGTTTAGTTTTAGAAAGTCACAATGCGGTTTCATGTGAACTTTGTGCAAAGAAATTTATGAATGCTGTGTCAATCGCGGTCTGTTAATTGTGACCTAGCCAGGACAGGAAGTTGAGGTGCACAATCCTTGACAAACTTTTGCTTCCTCTTCGTCGTTCACTTCATCGTGGGAATTCACTTTCGTATGGCAAGCGATACTGCAGGCTTTAGGAAAGAGGCTCTTTTTCATCAGTTGTAAGATAATAAGACTAAATTATATGCCAGGAACATGAAACTTTCAAGCGAATGCCTGAAATGTGAGATCAATGAATCTATGACGTTTACGACTTCGGTTTCGGATGTGACATAGATGCTAAAATTGGCATCATGACTTCGGAACACTTCTAAAGTGCGGCATGATTGGGGATCGTCAGTACATATTTGGTCACGTGTGGAATTTCTGTGTGAGGAATTTTATGATGAGACTTTTGAGCCCTAGCGGATGTTTAACGCATGTGAGAGTCGAGGTTGGTTGTCATATGATTGCATGAAATTCTGGTGTCGTTCAAGGCTGAAGGATGCAAATTTTGGACACGAGGAAGACGAGGTATGGAGCATGGTAATGTGGCAAAGTCTCATGCTATATATGCAGAGCGTTATAGCATCATTCAACATGTGCATGGTACACAAAATTTCCATCCTTACTCACGTTACTTCCACTGTGAAAACGGAGGATGTGAATCTCCCTGTTGCTACAGCAGCAGATGTATCAATTCCTGTAGGCCTGTGCCCTGGACAGGAATTTCTTACCCTGTAAAAGCCATGCCACAGCTAAGTTACATTGTCATGACAATTCTACACCAGTTTAGTCTGGAGAAGCCTCCAGTAATACCACCTTGATCTATCAATTTCCAGTAGTACCCAAATTCTGTCAAGTTTATCCATCAAGTAAGCCAGATTTCTGCTTCAGTTAAGTTTTACCGAATTTTGTAGTGAAAGCATGAGGTACTTTAGCTTCTTCTCATTCTGGTTATATTTTGAATGTCTGGATGAAGCTTCTTTCTTCATGGATTGCAGGATTCGACTGAAAATTTGCTTCCTAGGTCTCAAATATTTACTGCTCAATTCTTAACAGACTTTGATTTCAAGCATCGCAGTCCAGGCATTACATCACTGACCGAGGACTCCTTATCATATTGAACCGTGGTTTTTTCTCTATCCCAATGGTATTTGAAAATGGGTATATATTCGTGTCCATCGTACTGAACCTCGACTGCACAAGGACGTTACGAGATGGTACATTTCGCCTCCCTTCCAATCTTTGGATTCTTTTTGGTACTATCGCTGTAAAATTTGCCCCAAGGTTTGTGTATAAAAAGGATTCATTCGGTTTGTCATTCTCACTCTCACCATTCACAATTTATTCTTGTATTAGATTCTCTTCCCTTAAATCCGGTTAGGTCCACTTTCCTCTCATTATATTCCTCGGGAAGCGCCTCCAGCTTCTTTGAGGACTGTCTTGTGCTTCGTGAGTATGACTACCTCAAGCAATGGTTTCTCCCAGAGAGAAGGAAAGCTGGTGGTTACAGCACTGGCGCTGGCTGTGATGTTTCTAATGTGTGGTTCAGTGGAAGCCTCTAGGCTCTTGGGATCTCTTGCTTCAGCTGCTGCCAATATTTCTTCGACACCTCCACCTCCGGATTCCAACACGTCAAAGGTTCCCATTGAAGGTAGATTGTTGGGTGGTGAGCACATTGCCGATCCCAAGTACTCTTCGCAGCAGCATAGATCTGAAAGAAATCGGGTCTTGACAGAGACCGATTCATCACTAGAAAAATGTGCCAATCAGTTTACTGGCGCGCCTGCGTCTAGTATACCATATGCCTCTTACAGTGGATACCTTTCTCCAGCTGGTGCTCCGCATGCAAACCGTGAGTCGGACGTGCTGACTCTTGCGCCAGCACCCTCGGTTGCCCCTGACGCTGATGATCTCTACAGCTACCAGCCAACACCGCAACCGGAATCCGGTGATGACAGCTTTATGGTGCACAGCACCACTGTGAGTGCCATGCAGGTAGGTCTTGGGGAGGGGGTAAGTTAATCATTTCTGTGGTATAGATCACTTTGTGTTTGTTAATCTAGGAGCTTCTATTCTAGACGTTGGACGAACTACTCATGAGCGTGTGGGTATAATACTACATACGGGCATTTCGCTTGCTGATTTGCCTAATACCGTCATATCAATCCCTGAATGCTTGTACATATTAAAGAAATGAATGCAATTTTAAGAACCGGTGGTATATTGCGTGAGTCATTCTGCGCTGCATAATTCACATTTCATCGAATGTTTCATTAGACACTCCCCGTATCACTTCCTGGATGCAAGCAGACTCATTAACGGTGATCATCGTGACTGTTGCCGACAATGCAGAGCAACCAGTGCACGTACACGATCATAACGAGCACGGGGGACATCGAAGGAGCCGGCACGCAAGCGGACGTGAATGTAGAATTCTTCGACAGGTTCGGCGCTTCTGTTCTCTTCGTTGGCCTCAAGAGTCAGAACCGCAACTTCAACCGCGGAGCCACCGACACGTTCACTGTCCTCGGAGACTGCCTCCAAAACATATGCCGCATGCGTCTATCCCACGATGACGCTGGCCACAATCCTAGCTGGTTCGTAAACACCGTCACCATCTCCGTCCAGTACCAGACTCGTGTGTTCAATGTGTACGAGTGGCTGGCCAAGGATGAGCCTCCTCGCTCACTCTCTCGCACCATCAACTCATGTCCAGCTTGAGATTAGTGCTGCAAACATGTTGCAACACCTTCCGAGGTGATCTCCCAGACCATGCATTGTGCTTCATCTAACTTCCTAGAGCTGCAACAACAGCTGGTCTGCGTGGTTACATTTTGCACTCTGTGGAAGACAAGCTGCCTAGTTCCATTTTGTCACTAAAGTTCTGTGTAATAAAGACGAGACTTTCGGGTCCAATTCTGGCCACTTCGTTGATCTGTTCATGTGACCCAGTTTCTGGTGCGAGGTGGTTTCACCGACTTGAGGGCTGGGTTCTGCCGAAAGCTGCTTTGCATAAGAGCCACACACTTGTCATATTGTGATTTGAAGGCATCCTATGAGTCTCAATTTAACTAACCAAACTCGTTTTTTCTTTTAATGACGAGGTGTACATACGAATTCTCATTTTTACAGCGGTTTTAATAGAAAGTGAAGAAATGAACTTGGTGCTTGACATTGTTGAACTGAGCTTCTGAGCTTCAAGACAAACAAGGAAATAAGTGATGATGATGTTGATGATGATAAGAATAGTAATAATGATGAATGGGTAAATAAAATGTTGTACCTAACATTTCATAAAAAATGAACATGAATCAACTCTAAATAGTTGTGTATGTAGATATAAAAAAAAAATCATATATTTGAAAATGATTTTTCATGTTGGAAGAATATTTGAGTAGCATTGATAGCTTCTAATATCTGTTTACCTCTTATTAATATAATATTTACAATTTCTAAAGAAAAAAGGATAAACTTTAGTTTGTAAGTATATAACAATATGTATGTATGTGTATATATATTCATATATATATATATATATATATATATATGATTATTTAGAGTCTGAATACACAAATGTAATTCTTATTAGACATTAACAAACAATTAGTTAAACAGATATCCAATACTGCAAACTTTGTATTAAATTTGAAATTGGTTTTATTTTGTTTTACATGTTTTTTAATTTTTTTTTCTTGTTAGAATTCAACACATTTTAATACTACCCAACAAAGTGGTTATATAATCCAACAAGATGATTGTATGTATGTGAATTGGACCTTGGTAGATGGACAAGCTGTTATTATCTTTACATTATAATATTTACAAAATTAGACTATGAACATACTTGCTAAGAAGTAAAAATTTAACATTACTTTGAATCACATGTTTCCTTGAATTTAGAGTAATTAGTCAATGAAATCCTCATTACTGATATCATTCACATTCTAATGTAACTTTTCTTAAATTTTTCATTTTTTATTTTATGGTTTTTAGTAACTTTATAGCTTGGTTTATTGGTTTAAATTTTTGGATGAAACACTTGTACCACATTGCTTTGCAATACACAACCTTTTGACAATTTTTGAAAGAATATTTGAGAACTTGAAGCTTGCAAATTTCAATCTGGAAGCTAACAAAGGTCAACAGCTACAATTCAAACCAATTAGAAAGCTTAATAATACATGAAAAAATTGTTATAAATGATGATTGTTTGAATATCCTGGTGGTATAAAAATTAATAAATAATCTTTCATTCAGTATAATAACATGATAAATCAAGTTTCAATCATGATAAATCAAGTGTCAAAAAGCCTTTGGATATATTAAGCCTTAAGTCAATGTATTTGCATATATATATATATTGCTTTTTGACTCAATCAATGAATTGGTGATGCACTAGGGTATAGAGGCAATTTCCTTTTCTGTAACATCCTCTTAACTTGTTGGTCTATGGAAGCCTGTTTCAGTTTCAAACACCCACTTCCTCCCTCCCCCATCATGCATTGTATTGATGGGTAGCAAAGGAGACAGGATTGGTGGTGGACCTGGAATTGCAAGGTTAATCATATTTAAAAACATGTCTTTTTTAATACAAACCATTATTCAGTATGTATATATATATATATATATATATATATTCATATACACATAGATATGAAGGGTTGTAAAACATTTCCCATTACACAAGTGCACATTAATATCCTCATTGTACTTGTTATGCTCAATCTCATTTATCTTTTCGTTAAAATTATACACCTTTCCATCATATTTTGCTCACGATTAGAAACCACTATGTTCCACTCACTAAATTTAATTAAATAAACTTCAAAACACAAAATTGGGACAACCTTTGAAAACCTCAAAATGTGTATGAGTGTATATATATATATATATATATATGCATAGATTGAAGGGACAACCTCAAATGTAGTACCATTATACACATCTGCACTAAATATAAAAATTCCCACTTTTCCTCCTACTTACGTGACCAGTGATTTCCCTTTTTTCTTTCCCATGTACTTGAAAATGCAAATCAAACCATGCATATATATATATATATATATATATCGTGCACTGCACCTCACCTTATCATGTTGCCTGAAGTGGTGTCTGCCGCCATTCACCGCAAGGAGACGAGGACCCAAAGCCGAGGACGGGGAGGTGGTAGGGAAAGCCACGGTGAAGGGAGGAGGGAGGGGGGGGGGGTCCCTTATCCTGTCTGGGATGTGGAAAAGGAGGAGGTGCCTGGATTTGTGTTTGTGGTGAGAGGATTGTGGAGCGGCAATTGCTCCATCGTGGCTGTTCTGTCGCCCTCAAATTTCCCTTCTCTCCCCTCGCCCTCTTCACTACCTGTTTGGTCTTTTCTGCCTCTACAAGACCCTTTCTCCCCAAATCCGGTTTCCTCAGTCATCCCGGACTTTCCTGGATTCAGTGTTCGGTACAGCCCCACATTCTCAAGGTTACTCCTCGTTTCTTCTTCTTCTTGAGGTATGTGAGAGGTTCATGGTGTGTGTCTGTTGGAATTACGGGCTGAGGATAGCGTTTGTGCAAGTCGATAGGCTTATCCAATGTGATAGTGATTGTATTGGTGTAGAAAAGCTGCATTGAGAGTTTTGTGATGTAATGAGGGTCTCTATTTGTACACCCAAGCAGCTGATTGTTGCCGTGGCATTGGTTGTGATCTGTCCTGTGGGTGTCTAGTGTTGAGCTCTCTGTTGGGTTGTGGCGAATTTTAAGAAATTGGGTGTAATTTGGCATTTGTGAGATAAATGTGTTTTTTCGGTTGTAGGAGTGCGAGGTGAAGAGTAAGACAGAGAGATGGCGGCGTCAGTGGCGCAGGCCAGTCACTTGGGTGCCTCGGCTCTGGCTCAGTCCTGCTCCTGCCGCGATGTTGAGGGCACCGCGAAGAGGGCCACAGGCAGCGTGTCATCGTTTACCGGGCTGAAGAAAAATGCCAGGGGTATGCCTCTGTGTGCGTCGTCGAGTGACTGTGCGTTCCAGAGGGATGCTCTCCGCCGCTCCGCGTTCGGAAGTTCCTCTGTCGCTGGTGGTGGTCGCAAGGCGGTCGTTTGCATGGCTGCTGAAGGTCAGTCGAGCTTTTGTGCGTTGTCACATTTATGACGGACGGGAATAGTTGCTTAGGGTTCTGGGTTTTAGATTCAGTTTGTGTTTAATGGCAATGACCACAATGTGTTTTTGGATAATCTTCTGTGCCCTCTTTCAATTTCGTGAATGCAAGGTGAATTGGGGAACTTAAGAGTAGGATTTTCGTTGATTGCAGAGAAAAGGGAATTTCCTCTATCCGACTACCGTAACATCGGCATCATGGCTCACATCGATGCTGGAAAGACCACAACAACTGAGCGTATCCTGTTCTACACGGGGAAAAATTACAAGATTGGTGAAGTTCACGAAGGGACAGCCACCATGGACTGGATGGAACAGGTGCGGATTGTTTTTCGTTTTATTCACGGGGATGGAATGAATTAGGGTCGCTGCAGCTGGCTCTATAACCATCTTCAGTACGCTTCACCATTAAGCAGTGCCTTATGTCTAATTTGGTGTGTGTGCATGGGATTTTTACAGGAGCAAGAAAGAGGTATCACAATCACCTCGGCTGCCACTACTGCGAAGTGGAAGGATCACCGAATCAACATCATCGACACTCCTGGACACGTAGACTTCACCTTGGAGGTGGAGCGTGCGCTGCGAGTTCTGGATGGAGCAATTTGCCTATTCGACAGTGTGGCCGGAGTGGAGCCGCAATCGGAAACCGTCTGGCGTCAGGCCGATAAGTATGGTGTTCCGCGTATCTGCTTCGTGAACAAGATGGATCGGCTGGGTGCCAATTTCTTCCGAACCAGGGACATGATTGTGAGCAACTTGGGTGCCAAACCCCTAGTCCTTCAGGTACACACTTGAAAGCGGTACCAAAGTGCCCTGTGAAACGTGTTCTGCAAATCTTGTGTAGAAATGAATATCTGCTGTGTGGGTCCTATCACATTGACCTAATTCGGGACTTGTGGGATCATTTCATTACGGTGCATGTTGCTGCATTAAGGCCCTTCATTGTCAGCGGACATTGATAATACGACTTGCTGCATATAAGATGTGCTAACACACGATGACTTCATGATCACAGATTCCTATTGGAGCCGAGGACCAGTTTTTAGGGATCGTGGATCTTGTCAGGATGAAGGCCGTGGTTTGGAACGGAGAGCAGCTTGGGGCAGCCTTCGAGGACAGAGAGATCCCTGAGGATTTACTCGAACTGGCGGAAGAGTACAGGTCAGATTACGAAACTCTATATCCTCCGGTTCCTGTTAGATTTGGCACATATTTCTCCCGCACTATATGTTTATAGATTTCACTGTTGGAAACACTGAGCTATGATTTAATGAGTATACTGAGGATGTTTTGAAAATTTAAAGGTATTTAAGGGATATATTGCTGTTCATGGCTGTGGTCTATCGGTGGACATACAAAGAGTGGGCCCTGACGCAGTTTCATCGTTTCAGGGCGTTGATGATTGAGACCATCGTGGATCAAGATGACGCCGCCATGGAAGCATACCTGGAAGGCATTGAACCTGACGAAGAGACAATCAAAATGATGATCAGGAAGGGGACAATTTCTTTGTCGTTTGTCCCTGTTCTCTGTGGGTCCGCCTTCAAGAACAAGGGTGTTCAGCCCTTGCTAGACGCAGTGGTTGCGTACCTTCCTTCACCCTTGGACTTGCCTCCGATGAAGGGATGTGACGTGGATAATCCCGACATTCCAGTGGACAGGAAGCCCAGCGACGATGAGCCTTTCTCTGGGCTAGCTTTCAAGATCATGAACGATTCCTTTGTCGGTTCTTTGACCTTTGTACGTATTTACTCCGGAACGCTTGCGGCGGGCACGTATGTGCTGAACTCAAACAAGGGTAAGAAGGAGCGTATCGGTCGGCTTCTGGAGATGCATGCCAACAGTAGGGAGGATTTGAAGGTTGCTCGCGCAGGAGATATTATTGCCCTCGCAGGTACGTTCTGGTTAACACCAGGGTTTTTTCATGTGCAATCGTTCAGAGACCGTTTTTCCCTTCCATGGGAAAGATATTTTAAAAAAAAAAATAGTCTCTTGTACATAGCAGTGACTGCAGTAATACGACCTTTATGCAGTAGTCAATCTGCAGTGGTAGCATGCATGCAGTGGAAAGGTCGGATGGTGTCGATGACGATACTAAAGCTACCTTAACGCTCTTTTAACTGACCTTCCGCTCTTCCCTGCAGGTCTGAAGGATACCGTGACCGGGGAGACTCTGTGCGACTCCGACAAACCTGTGGTGTTGGAGCGTATGGATTTCCCTGACCCTGTGATCAAGGTGGCCATCGAGCCGAAGACCAAGGCAGATGTGGACAGAATGTCTGTTGGACTGATCAAGCTCGCCCAGGAGGATCCATCTTTCCATTTCTCTAGAGATGAGGAGACGAACCAGACGGTGATTGAGGGGATGGGAGAGCTGCATCTGGAGATCATTGTAGATCGGCTGAAGCGTGAGTTCAAGGTGGAAGCAAATGTGGGCGCACCCCAGGTGAACTACAGGGAGAGTATTTCAAAGCCTGCGACTGTTAAGTACACTCACAAGAAGCAGTCCGGAGGCCAAGGGCAATTCGCTGAGATCGAAGTCCGTTTTGAGCCATTGGAAGCTGGAAGTGGATACGAGTTCAAGAGCGAGATCAAGGGTGGATCCGTGCCCCGTGAGTACGTGCCTGGTGTGGTGAAGGGCCTGGAGGACATGATGAACAACGGTGTGCTGGCCGGTTACCCAGTGGTGGATGTTCGCGCTGTGTTGTTGGATGGTTCATACCACGAAGTGGATTCCAGTGTTCTAGCCTTCCAGCTGGCTGCCCGAGGTGCATTCAAGGAGGGTATCTCTAAGGCCGGCCCCAAGCTGCTGGAGCCCATCATGAAGGTGAGTTCGTTGTCTTCCTAGCCATAACCTCTTTGGAAGCAATTGATGCCTGCTGCAGTCGTGGTGTAGACTTTGTGAAGTGTGAGGGTGTGGTATTTTGTATGAGTTGAGAGGATGAGTCTTCTGTGTTGTTGACTGTAGGTGGAGGTGGTGACTCCGGAGGAACACATGGGTGATGTTATTGGTAACCTAAACTCCCGACGTGGACAAATTGAGACGCTTGGTGACAAGCCCGGCGGCATGAAGCTGATTACTGCTTCTGTACCGCTGTCGGAGATGTTCAACTACGTGAGTACCTTGCGGGGCATGACGAAGGGCAGAGCTCAGTACACGATGCAACTGTCCAAGTTTGATGTTGTACCCACAAACATCCAGATGGAAATCACATCGAAGAAGATGGAGACTACAGCTTAGAGTAACTTACGCTATAAATCTAGATACTATCACTTAGAGTAAGATGATTGTCATGTGGAGCCTTTCATGAATGATATATCTCGAAGGCTAAAGGTGTGGTGTAGAAGACAGTTTGTAGAATGAATCCTGTAGGTTATTTTTGTTCCTGCCAATGAGCTCTGTACAGCTCCTCATGGAACGGTTTTGTATTTGATCATCCATATTGCGGGCCTTCTCTGGCTGGCTGTTAAGCAAACAAGTCAAAGATGATTGCGGAAACGACTTGTTTTGTTCAGTGTTTGATTGCTGAAAACTCACAACGTTCTATGATTCTCATCATCCGACGTCTCTAATGTAAAACACGTTCTTAAAATTCACTTAATGATTTCAGTTTCCTTAGCGAAATCTTTTCTAATTGCAGTAAGCTTGATGGTCTTGTGCATAAACTTGTTGTCCCCTACAGTAGGCACCGCTGAAGCAATACTTTAATGCGTAAACATAACTGTCGAGTAATCTACGACGCATGAAAGGCACATGTATTTTATCGTGGCAAGCAGACATGTACAAGAGTAGAGTAAAGTTTTCCTTTGCACACACATTTTTCAACAAGTTGCAAACTCTTTAAATAGGATGAGAATGATCGATCTTGTTTTCTAACATTATTCTTAACTCATCTGTGTACAAAGTGTAGACAGTTTAAAATTTCAAATTGGATTAAACCCGCAATTCCTAATGGGATATTTTAAATCATAGAAAATATCAGTTTGAACGGAAATGTATTCTTTGAACTATGCATTCACCAGTGCCCCAGGTTTAGGAAATTCAACAAACACAGAAAGTGACAGTGGAAAAAAAAAACAAATCATTGCGGTCGAGTGTACCAATGTCTTACTTCCTTTTAGGATAAGCAATTCAAATGCAGAAATCATTGTGCAATGTATTTTAATAAAAAAAGTATTACGAATTACATAAAATAAGTTATTTTAATTTTTTTAAATATTATATTGCAATTGAAAAATATTTGATTTGACAAAATTTTATTTAAAATTTTAAAGGTACAACTACTGGTTTATACATCAATTATCCAAAAAGTTACACATAATTAAACATTTTTTGTTGGTAACAAATCTTGTGTGTCGAATGCAACTGTGACATTTGCAATTACAATCTACACGTGCATTAATTACAAAATTCCATATTAAATGCATATAAAATGCATATAATATGCATTTGTTACACTGTATAAAAAATATTAAAAAACACTTTGCACACTAAAAAGTATAGAGATAATTTCCATTATTATTTTTTAAATGCATCTATAACATATAGCTTATAATACCAACATTGTGGAATATGTAGTGACCTAAATTGATTATGCATTATGATTGTAGTATTGGATGATCATTATGTTACGAAAATCATGCTTCTTCTTGCCATAAAAATATTTTATCAAATGAGAGATAATTGTTTGAACTGGAGTTTTTATCACCATAATTAATGTCTTTATAATTGTTCCAATCTTTGTTGTTATAATTATAAAGTGTTTTACTGTTCAATTTACATATATTGGTATCTACAATACAAATCATTAGTACCTCTAACAGCATTTGTAAATCCTTTAAACTTTGGGATTTTTTTTCAATGTTCATATGCAATGCTGTTTCTCCATTCTCATAAATATAGGAAGTATGTTGAAAATTACTATCTTTGTTTATACAGCTTAAAGATGCTGTACGGAGTTATAGAAATTTTAAAAAATAAAAATGTCCTATTTCCAAGTAGATACTCATTATTCATGGAGTAATTTGTCTGATTCTTTGATTATTTTATGATATAAACTGTGCATAAATCATCGTTGAAACTTAGAAATCTTACATGCATAAATAGATTTATACACAGTTAGAATTGGAAGTATATAAATTTGAATTTGACAATGATGATTTTTAGGTCTATATACTAATACAACATAAATATCATTTATGATACATATAATGTAATTTTTTAAACTTATTTTCTTGTTAATTATTAAAGAAATGAAATATCTTTTGGTTCAAAAAGCTCATTCCTCTACTTACAGCTCAATAAACAGGAAAGAAATATACATGAACTTGTGAATTGTATAATATTGTATACTCTAATCCTAATTTTGTTGGCAATTTCTATTACTAATTTGTTTCTTTTTAAAATTTTAAAATAGTACAAATAAAGTACAAATTTTACTTTAATTAGAATTTCTTTAAATTACCATAATGTTTTATATGAAAATTATAATTAGTAAGTTTCCTATGAAAATTGTATGAAAAAATTATAAAACCATAAAATTTCTTTAGAAACCTTTCTTTTAAGTTAATTTTAAAGATAAATAAATAAAATAAAGACATTAGAATTTGAGCCCTTAGCACAACAAATCAATCACTTTTAATTGATAGATAGAAGAAATTTATAATTGGATTATTTTCCTCTTTGGTAAATATTTTTTTGAACTAAAATTATTAGAATTTTGTAGTCAGTAATAAAAATGTTTTCTTTTTTGATGATAAATATAAAAATGTTACTTTTATGATTTAGCTTATCAAAGCTTTTCATGTTGAAAATACTCTATATTATTAGAATTCCCAATAAACTATTCTAATTATACATGGAATTATGTTATAATATTTGAATTATATCATATACAAAAATAAAATAAAATAAAAATATTTATTTTTTTGTAAAGGTATCTATATATTGAAATTGCTTAAAGAGACAAGTGGTGGCTCTCATTCACTACATGGATTGGTCTTTGTTTTCATCAAAAAGGTTCATATTTTGTGGAGTTTACAATACATTTTACAGTTCATTACTGGGGTTTGCAATTGATTGGAGAGTTCCACTAGGTTCTAGTAGTTTTTAATGGTTGCATGGATGGATCTTTGTTTTCATCAAAAAAAATTGGCTTCTTTGAAGTTCACAGGGCATTTCATAAGGCATTTTATAAATAATCATAGCATTCTATAAGGCATTTCACAAGGGATCATAAATCATGAAAAAGGGCTCGAAGCTCTGAGAGACGCTTTGATTGATGAGCAACAATAGCTTTTGATTCACATGGCCTTAGAGTCTCTCTAAATATTGCCAAAATAAAAAGTATTTAACAAAGAATGGATCTATCAAGCACTTGATCATTTTAAACTCAAGGCTTATAATACAAGTAGCATTATGCAATACAAATTCAAGATAAATTGCCAAGACAAGTAGTGGTTCTCATTCCCTGTATGGATCCATCATTGTTAAATTTTAATTGAACACGAAATACTAGAGTTTAACTGAATGTGGAGATTTTTAGTAATGTGTTGTTTGTTGCATGCACGCAATGCAATTAATGGTGAAATTTGATCCTTGACAGAAAAAAAGACATAATTGCAATTTTTTTGTGTTTTCTTGAAGTTGCAGTCTATAATTGCAATAGATATCTGAAAATTTTTTAAAATTTTCATACCTTGGGTATTTGTGCATTGTTTTTGAGCTTTAGTTAAAGAATTTGTTAAAGAATTTGTCAATGAGAGTATAGAATGAGGATAAATTTACCATCTAATTTGAGAGAAAAACTTGACAAAACTTCAAAGATTTCAAAAACCATACTCTCCATTCTTTTTAAATCATATTATCAAGCTTTGCTTTGCAAAGTGAGTGTATTTTTAGATATTTCAAAAGATTCAAAAATGTATATGTATTTGCATTGTATTGCATTTCAAAATTTTCATTGTACTTTGCATTACAAAATATTATACAAAAATTAAACATTTTTTTTTTTTTTTTTTTTTTTTTTTTTTTTTGTGTAATTTTTGAAATGTAAAAAAAATTCATTGTGCTTTGCATTGCAAAGTGAGTGTATTTCTAAAAATTTCAGAGTGAAAGTATTAAGATGAAATGGTTTGAGTGTTGTTTGCTTTGTCATTTTGTTAGTTAAATGTTCAGATTTAGAAACAATGTATGAACAATCAAGTGAAAGCTAATTGTTGAGAGTCACTATGGTATTATATATTATTGTGGCATTGCCGAGAGTTTGAAAATTATTTGATTCTTAATTCAAGGTCTTTTATTTGAGGTGTTCAAAGTAGCTTGAAGTTGTGTATCTTTTTGTATTAATTGGCTTATATGAGAAGTACAAGGTTAGAGGCATTTTAAAGCATTATGTATAGAAAAAATAACAATGGGTTTTACCATTGGAAACTTACAATTTTTCAACAATTGAAGAAGAAAGGGCTTGATAGTTGAAGAGCAAAGCTTGATTTTTTTTTTATTTTATTTTATTTTTTCTTTTTTCACTTCAACTTTTGTGTCATCCTTGTAGAATTGATTGCAAGCTAAAGGAATTCATTGTCTTGCTCTTGTAAGTAATAGACTATTATTCAAAAGTGAGGCAATTAACTTTGTTGGAAGTGGGCCAATGCAAGAGACATCATGCAACTCATTCAATTTTGAAGGCACTTTTATTACCCTTGGTAATAACAAAGTGAGGTGCAATAGAATAAGGAATTATCTGAAATTGCACCAAAGAGCTGTGGTGAAGAAAGTATTATTTTTTGGCTTGAATTCAATCAAGTTTACTTGAATATATAGCATTCACACCAACTAGATATTACTTTTACAAAGGCAAACTGGTTTGCAAACTCCTACATGTTTTCAAACTATTGTGAATTATTCTTCAAGAACCATGAAATCTAATTGCTTATTTTTGAGGTGGACTCTATGGATAAAGAGACTCTCTCTATATATATACATATATATGTATATATTCAATCTTTATAGTTTTATAGTTTATATTTTTATAGTATTGTAGTTTTATCAAATATCTAGATAGTTTTATAGTTTTATAGTTTTATATCTTTATATTTTTATATTTATAATTTTATATTTCTAGAATAAATTTATGTAATGAAGTGATTTATTAAAGTCATTTTAATAAACTACTTCATATCTTTTAAATTTGACTTTAATACATCTTTGAATGTCTTAACAAACTTTTATGATTTTTTAATGTAATTTAATGTTTTTTTTATTATTTTTATAAGAAGTTCCTTGAACAAAATTCACTACTTTTTTTGCATATTATTTGTGATAATGGCACAAATGTAGCTATCCTACTTTGAAGCCGAAAACTCCATTAAGAATTTTATTTATTTCTTTTCTAAAAAAAAATAAAAAATATTCATTGGCTCACAAACATATATTTCAAAAAAATACTTCATTTGAGTCAAATTTTTTGTGACAACAACATGGATTCATCTAGTATTTCAATAAAGGCAATGTTAATTTAAGAACTATTGTGTACCACATTATTTAAAGAAAAAAATATTATAGTTTCAAAATTTGTTTGTTTTAACTTTCAAAATCTCTTCAAACCTAGATGAAATATTTGCTTTAGCAAAATTTAGATATTTATATACATAAGATCTTTAAATCTAATTTGTATAAAATTACTCTATCTTTAGAATAGTTACAATTATTACTTATTACTTAATATATTGCTAATACATAGTTTAGTAACATTTAAAAAAATTCCACAATTACAATTTATATTTCTATTGAATAGATCTATTTTATTTTCTATGCACAAATAAATTAATATATCTCAAATTATATTTATTTTTATAAATTAATAAACAAATATTTTATAATTTATAAAAATTAATATTTTAAAAGATGAAAAAAGAGCTTTAATAAATATTGCAACTATTCTACATTAATGTTATATCTCAAAAGCATTTAGTGTACTTTCAAAAGCATTTTATTAATTACAGAATGCAACAATTCATCTGTATTTATATATTGAGATTCTATTCTCTTACATGTAGGTTAAATAATAAACATAGAAAATTAATGTGAATGTTCTGTAGGTTATTGTAACAGTGCATTAATTTTATGATTTTTCCCTTCACATTTACTGTTCATAAGCATAAGTTTGGTACTTTTTCAACCAAATTTTGGTTCCAGTTTATTCTAAAATCAAAAAATCCTTAATTTAAAATCCCAAACAATCAATGAAAAATGTGAAATTAATTTTTTTTAAGCAAAGAAAACCAAATCTCTCATCAATGATACCTTCAGAATTACACCTACAACTCCAGTGAGCCACACTATCAAACCTAATTCTTAGTACAAAATCCAAAACAAATGATTGAAATTGGGAAAAAGTTTATCAAACTTAGTAACTAACTCTCGTATTAACGAATTAATTAACTAACTAACTCACTCACTAAGTTGACTACTAATATTACGGATTCAGAGTTGACTGGAACACTACAAGTCAGCGCGAAGCTGCGGGACGTTGACTTCATTCATCCTGTGGGACCTACGAAATTTCGGCGTCATGTCGAAGAATCGAGCAGCGTCCATCGATCGATCCACGATCCCCCCCCCCCCATCATCTTCGTGCTCCTGTGATTTGATTCAACCTGGTCTGCCCAGAAAACGATGTTTCAAGGCATGGATCTGGTGACTCAACACTAATATATATGTATATACTGTCATTTGTTGTCGTTAGTTGACTTAGCCGAGATCCTCATGTAGCTGAGAGAATTTGATGTCGTCGCAATGTGTGTCAGATGTCCTGCTAATCTCGGCAAGTGACGAAGTTGCGAGGAGAGGCTCAGTTTCTGTACAGAAACTCAGGTTATGCTTTGCTGCGCATGAGCTGGACCCTACCCCTTGATAATCCCACACATTCTATTCAGAAAGTGGCGTGGTTAAATTACCATTCAATTTCCATCTAGTGGTGTGGAAACAAACTGACTGCACGCAGCAATATGTGCTGTTCAAAATTAAACTGATACATAATACTGCGTGATGCTATGCCGTCTAATTATAGGGGTAGTCCTAGCCAGCCGGTTGGTGGCATCCAAACAAGAATCTGAGCAATGTTAGAGATGAACAATGTGGGTAAAATTAAAATTTTATAATGCAAAATGTGCGCTGCCTGTCCCGTAAGGACCTTGATAGTTGCTCTGGGTTTGCACGACAGTACCCGCCCACTGCATCTTTTGACGGGGCTGGTGGTGACGTTGTCCTTGGAGCGGTACACACACCATCGCGGTGGATGCCCTGATCTATGTCTGCTACATCTGCAGGCCCTGATTATATCTATTCGGCTGATCCGGAACTTCCACCCCTTGGACAAGTTGATCCATAGTGAGGTCGCGGTTAGCTAGGTGACGGCTGAGCCTGGTTTGCGATCGATCTACTTGAAGGAGGAAGAAAGTTTGGGATAAGTAGGTAGAACTCTTTTTTGAGAAAAGTACCCCTAAATTGAGTAGTAAAATCCATACAGCTGATTTCTCACACAATCTCGAGTATGTGTCTGAAGCTTCAAGGCAAACTCCAGCGGTGCCTTGCCGATGATGCCGTTTTATCACTTCGGCAAGTAGCCGACGCATTTCGTGCGAAGGTTTTCACATATTCCAGTTCAGAACACGACAATGCATTAAAGAATGAAACGGTAGAAATTATGGAATACTGAATCTGTCGAACAGATTTATTTTTGCACTGAACGACGACCTCTCTACCTGTGCAGATTGTTGAAGCGATGGCGGTTCCATCTGCTTACAACAACACGGGGGGTGTAACACCAGACTGGCTGAACAAGGGCGACAATGCGTGGCAGCTGACCGCGGGCACACTCGTCGGACTACAGTCTGTGCCGGGCCTGGTGATCTTATACGGCAGCATTGTAAAGAAAAAATGCGCCGTCAACTCGGCCTTCATGGCGTTCTATGCTTTCGCAGCTGTGCTACTGTGTTGGGTCATTTGGGCGTACAAGATGTCGTTCGGGGAGAAGCTGCTGCCGTTTTGGGGCAAAGGGGGGACGATACTCACATATAAATCGCTTCTGAAGCAAGCGCAGCTCCCTGCAACGGCGCACTATCACAAGAATGGGACGCTGGAAACGGCCGCGTTGGCGCCCTTGTACCCCATGGTGTACTTCCAGTTCGTGTTCGCTGCCATCACGTTGATCCTGCTTGCGGGATCACTTCTCGGCCGAATGAACTTCCGGGCATGGATGCTGTTTGTGCCGCTGTGGCTCACATTTTCCTACACGGTTGGCGCTTTCAGCCTCTGGGGCGGCGGATTCTAGTTTCAGTGGGGCGTGATCGACTACTCGGGTGGCTATATTATCCATCTCTCCTCCGGCGTGGGAGGCTTCACAGCAGCCTACTGGGTTGGGCCAAGATTGACTAGGGACCGGGAGCGCTTCCCCCCTAACAATGTCCTGCTTATGTTGGCGGGCGCGGGGCTTTTGTGGTTGGGGTGGGCAGGGTTCAACGGAGGAGATCCTTACTCGGCCAACATCGATGCCTCCATAGCCGTGCTCAATACGAATGTGTGAGATCATTAAATCAGTCATGCTGTCAATATTGATTAGCTTTACAGCGTTTGGCAGGTGTGATACAGTGCTGGGTTGCGATTGTGATCGGAGTTTGCGCGGGCAGTATCCCCTGGTTCACGATGATGGTTGTCCACAAACGCTGGCCATTGTTGCAGAGAGTCGACGATACGTTGGGCGTTTTCCACAATCATGCCGTTGCCGGTTTATTGGGAGGATGCCTCACAGGCTTGTTTGCCGAGCCACATCTCTGCAACTACTTCCGCTCCGTCACAAATGAACAAGGTGCAATTTACGGCGGGGTGGGAGGAGTACAGCTAGGGAAGCAAATCGCTGGAGCTTTCTTCGTCATTGGTTGGAACGTGGTGGTAACGAGCATCATCATGGTAGTCATCAGATTGATCGCGCCGCTTCGCATGACGGAGGAGCTTCTGATGATTGGAGACGATGCAGCGCATGGAGAGGAAGCGTATGCGTTGTGGGGCGATGGTGAGAAGTATAACATGACGAAGCATGGCGTGACGGATTTCGACGTTTCCAATCATGGTCTAGGCGCCGGCTCCCGACGCCCCACTGTCAGTCTTTGAGGCCGTTCTTCCTCTCTAATCATGTTCCTCTATGTCGAAACTCTGCTTTGTTTTGTACTATAGCCACATCTGTACAGACCGGCTTTGTGTTAGAGCTTAACCATAGCCACACATTGTATCAAGGCGATATTTCAGTAATATTTCACAAACTAACTAGGATTTTTTATTTATTTAGGTGTCTAATCTCTGCTGCTCTGTTCCGACTGATCACTGATCGCTAAGAAGAAGCTCAGCCATGTTATGCATTGTTTCGTTTGAGATGAAAATAAGTTAGTGAATCGGTGAAAGATCTGTTACGTCTCCACACCTGTCCACCATCATCATCAACTAAGTGGTTCAGATTGTTTCGTTCGTTACAAAGGAGGTTACAAGAAAGATCTTGCTGCATTGTTCGTCAAGGTCTGAAACACCAGGAATATTCACTAAGCTCACATGAAAGATGATTGGACTACTGGGAGGTACTCTGAGTCTTACCTCCCCAGCGCCGAGTCCCTTTAGGAAAGTCAACTGCAAAAAGCAACACACAAAACTTGCCGTAAGCCAAAGTTTGAAGGGAGGGGCTTTCTAATATAAGATGTACCTCAGCTGGTGTTTTACGTAATGGAAGGACCCATATAGACAGCCCAAGGATTCGGCATAAGCCCGTCATCGTGGAGGCAGCTCCGGAAAGAGTGTGTATACCCCGCCAGGAATATACAATCGACCCTTGCCGCCCACCTTCGTGCACATGATACTCTCGATCAATCTCCTGATGGACTGCACAGACAATCAGTAAGACGAAACATAAGCGCCGCTTACCCTGGATGAAAATTTCAGACTAACGACTACGATGCAGGTAGAACTAGCAGCTTGACATACAGGGAGGACTTACCTGATAGGATCCAACTCGGAAGATATAAGGCGCTCATGTCTCCAGAGAATTGGCACGTTGCCAACATTACCAGATGAGTTTTAGTACTGTCGGCGTGGACTCGAAATTCTCATGTTTTTTCAAAGGAAACCCTCCCCTATCCCGAACAAGTAAAGGAATTTAGTTACTTCACTTTTCAAATGACGATTAAGAAATCGGTTTTCTTAAGAATTAGTAGAATGAGTAAATTAAAAAATCTAAAAAAATTGCATAGCATTTGTGAAAAAGTTTGAACAGAATTCGAGTTCGTTGTACGAAGGAATATAAATTGGCTGTCAAAAAACCTGCCACTGGGTAAGATGGCCACGTAGTTTGCCGCAACGTGATTCAGCAGATACGTTAACATTAGAGACCAGATGCTGAAAAGTTTACGATGATCTTGTCCGATAGATCGAACTTGACGAGCCACGAAGAGAATGACGTGCATCGAAAAACCTAGAATCCAACAGGCTGACTGTCCCCTGTTGCAATAACATTGTCTTTGTATTGAAGACCTGATGGTGCTGTCGTCATTGAGATCTGCTGAAGGTATAACAAGCCCAACGAAGACTCCTCAGCCGACTGCAGATCGCCATAAATACAACACTTACCAGGAGCAATGTAATCAAGCGTTGTAGTCATGCACCGATTACTATGTGGAACAAATCCATAGAGGACGCAAACTCTAATGCTGTACAATATCCATCCCTCGAGCTCTTATTCACAAGCTACATCAGGGGGGACGGGGTGTCAAACCCGCAGCGTCAGCAGTTTCGCTGGATAGCAAGGACAGAGCTCAACCCAAGGCGATGGCTTCCAAAGCTTCAATACGCGGCAACTTAACTTGTACCATATCCCCATTCTTGCGAACTGCACACGCAATAACTGATACTTGTCAGGAGTTTGACCCTGTTTCAGCTGCTGGACACGTCCGGATGGCTGCTCATGTGCACAAAAGCGATGCACCAACGCTATGACGAGGTCACAGTACCCTAATCCTGAAGGCATTACTGGAATGAGCAATACCAAACTGACATCAACATATATTTTGCCGCAACTTCAGAAACAGAAGCGCATGAGGAAGCAGTCTACACGTAAAGAAAAGCCTTGCAGAAGTGTTGTAATAGTTATCTCCCTGTTTCTAAATTTCTCCGAACCCTAAACTCAATCTGCAAACCATACTGCCTTGCCTTGTGCGCGGATTCCAGTCTCGGGAGAACTTTCAGCATAGGCAAGCTAATCCGGAGACTGCTCAGTCGCGCTGGGACACATAAACCAGTGAAACACAGTTTTCGCTCTAAAGGAATCAACCCAAAACTGGAAATGGGTACTCGCAGATAGCATTTTCCAAGTGGATGAGCTAAAGAAAACTGTCGCGACTTCAGCAATGTACACGACTTCCAAGAACAAGGTGCACAAACCTCCTACACACGAAGTAGAAGACCACATAAAACTAGGTTAGCAAACTCTACTACAAGCGAATTCAGCTGCGACGCAAATGTTGTATCCCCACGAATCGGACATCGACGAAACCAAGCTGTGGGGTGTATACAAGAATGCGCCATTTTGATAAAAACATTCCGTTTAACTTTAACGCGTTGAAATATTTCATTGTACATGTACTCTGGTTATTTAAGTTGTTATTTCTAAAGAATAATTCCTCTGGTATTGAAATAAACACATACATTCGCAAGAACCATTAAGATTAACCAGGTCAGTATTTTGATCTATCTAGGTATACAGTGGCTCATCACACAGTGGCTCATCACACAATACCTTCGGTCAACCTCAATCACAAACATGAATGGTTACTATGTCTTGACTTGGCCTCAAGTGTGAGGTCTTCACATCAAACTTAAGTTCGACTGGTTTTACTTCAATTCTTCAAAACATTGCCTCCTCAGACCAAAGACTGAAATGATGTCTCATACATTGCTTCAGTGTAACACTCGAGTTGATGTGCCGGATTGTAAATTTGTCACTTTTCAAAGGAATCAGCAGTCCTTTCCAATCTCAAAAATAACGAAAGAGCCTATTTTAATGTGAGAAGACTATTGTTCCAGGAATGTTTTTACATATATATAAACTCATTCCGCATACATTGGATGGTATCAATCACTGACGCAGCTAGAGGTGCAGGGCACACAGGTACATTTGTACATCAGTCCTCTCTCAGTCATTTCATGTTTCAAACTTGTCTGCTTCAACTGCAGCGTAGAGTTAGAAGACTGTTCAGAACTGGAAGACCCTGATCTTCGCACACACTCTGGTTGGGTTAGTTAACTACATGATTGATACTTAGGTTCTCCATATTTCTGAATTAGACCACCCTTGACCAATCTAGATGATTATAGCTACTCTGGGTCGTTCGCTTCGATCAACAGCAGGACCACATAATTGCTTTCCTTTTTAAAATTTCACTGAGTAAACCGAATCTTTTTCAATGATTGTATGTTACATATATTTAAGCTTGTTGTGAAATACTCTCATTCATTTCAATCTCAGTTTGTCCGGGATGAGACGTTCGGCGATTGGACGACTTGCTTTTCAAGTATAGCTCAGACTCCGCAAAGTGTCATTAATTATCCATTGAAAAACAGATGAGTGGAACACACCCAAGTCACAATGCAGCAATTCTATGTTCTTGCGACAAAGTAGATTCAAACTTCCGCTTTTGATATCTTCTTTAAGTGAAACTTGATAATGCCTAACAATTACATTGACGAAAGAGTACAAAAACCCAAAAATCAATGGTCTCTAATATCTAGTCTTACAATGTATTGCAGAAGTTCGTATTTCAGGACATTGGATGTGCATACACACACGACTGTAAGACTTGCACAAGGTAGTAATCATAGCTCCGAATCATTTTCATCGTCTGAAATGGACAAATCGAGCAGGCGTGTTCGTGACTTTTTAACTATCCGTCTCGTTTGTCTCCCAAGCTTATCCATCCCTCATTTCACACTTGTGTTTTTGTTTGTTCATTAATATGTATGTGTAAGTATGTGTATGTATTCTGACATATTGAGAATTATTCTAAGAGAATTGATGAAAAATACACATCAATTGAATAAAGGAGCAGTTTGTTTCAAAATTGATTTTTTTTTTTTGGAAAAAAAAACCCCCTCTTAGCTCTTTTGATAAATTGAAGGGGCAATTAGAAAAAGCCATAGGTGAACATGTTCAATTAGGAATAAATCCAACTAAAGATTACTTCTATTTACAATCAAATTTTAGAGAAACTATTAAAATTTCTCTTTAACTCTCTTCTTATTAAACTTCCTATTGATTCATGCACTTTTTAAGACTATGATCCAATTTCAACCCTAAGATTATTTATAACTACAACATATCAGATGGTCTAGGGTTCATTAAAGTCTTTACATAAATAATACTAAAGGAAGTATAAGATGAGATTAAAAATAGCCCTACATTTGGCAACTTGTTTCAACAAAGTTCTTATACAGTATTAAAAACCATAAGATCCATGAGCTTAGATTCTATGTAGCCTGAAATTCTAGAGAGGGATGGAAGTTTAAATTTTAAGTAATAAACTTAATGATTGACAAGATAGTATTTATTGTGATTAACTTTAATAAATTATCTATCAAATGTAGATTCTCTCTTAGTACAAGGTACAAATTCAAGGAGTATCTCAAGATAAAACAACCTAAGAAAAAATCTTCTAAAAACTTAGACAAAGTCAAAGGTAGTCAAAAAGTAAATAGAGATATAGAAGACCTTCTAAAAAAATTGCTATCGAAGACCACAAAAGATCAAAGCAAGACCTTGATACATATATGCTATAAAGAAAACTTGGCTATCATAAATCAAAAAATATCTTTACATAAGATAGAATAAAATAACACTACAACCTAACAAGAATCAAAGATAAATTTGAATGCCAAAGAGATAAAAAAAAACAAAAAAATCAAAAAAAAACAAAAAAAAATTAAAAAAATTAAAAAAATCAAATAATAATAATAATAATAATAATAAATGGAGGAACTCCAAACAAATAATTTCTATTAATTCTACAAATATAAAGAACTCTCTTATATAACACATCTTTGCTTGTAGCCATAAATAATATATGATATAAGGAGTAAAGTGGTAAATCAAATTTAGCTAATATAGCTATAACCAAAATCTTAACTAGTATGGAAATGGCTTCAAAGCTTGACAAGATCCATAAATCTAGAGACCTTCTAAAAACTCATATTATTCTTGTGTTGGCAAGCATTATCTTGATTGAATTCATAAGGGAGGTTAATTCTCAAAACAATCTTTCTTAAGAAGATTTATTACAAAAAATAGACTTTCTCTTCTATAGCTAATCAATTTTGACTCAACTTCTTAAGCTAGACAATTGATTCAATAGTAAAAGAAATTTTGTAGAATATGAAGTTAAGACGTACTTGACTATCATGGATTCTAGTGGGGTATAATTGTAATATATTCTTCACCATTCTACTACCAAAAGAAACATTAATTTTTAGTGCAAGAAATTCAACTAAAAACCAAAAACAAGCATCTAATACTAATATATTTATTAATAATATAAGAGGCCCAAATAAGGATGCAAGCAAAGTATGTTCTAATTTAAGTACAATATGTTTCTAATGTAACTTTTTATTCACTTCAAAGTAAAAAAGATGAAAAGAAAAAAAAAAGTTCCTTTATACTTAATAAAATGTTCAATGCCTCAATAATCTAATTGCAATACAATACCTTTTAATACAACAAAGAATAATCTAATCAAAAAATAAAAATGAAATGTAAGATATTTAGAGAGCAAGTTGAAAATAACTTCATTAATATTTTAGTCTATACTAAGGTTAATTAAAATCTTTCTTTGTTTCTTATATTTACTAAAATAAATTTGATATCTTTGCAAAGGCTCATTGTATTGCTAACAATTACTTTGTTTTCTTTTGAAAAATAGTACAAAGATAGTAGTATAAAATCTCATTTTTCTCACATCCAACCAAAAAAAGTTGTATTAATCTTGACCTTGATTGATTTTTCCTTTCAACTCCAAGAATCAATTGTATTAGACCACAAGAATTCCCTCAGATGTACTTGCAATGCCTTTATAAAGGATCAAGCCCAAAGTAGAAATCCTAAGATAGTAAGTAAGATAAATAAAGTCAAAGCTATCTTTCTTTCTTCAACCAAAATCTAAGATAATATTTAAAGGCCCTTAAATAGTCCAAAGGGGCCACTTCAATCTTTGAACTATCTTAGAACGTCTATAACCTTCATCAACTTAAATATATCTCTTAACTTAAATATTTTTCTTAAATTCATGAAGCATAGAAGAAGAAGTCACTTCTCTCATTCAATCCATGTGTTTGAAAAATGTAAGAAACTATTGGCAATTAAAATTTTGAAAAGCTCTAATCCAAAAATTTAATATAAAATAATTTTTTAATCTTTTTCAAATCATTTTTATAAAAATAAATATCTTATTATATAATATAAGTTGACTTAATGATCTTCCTAAAGTACTTAAGTTAAGAAGTTCTATCTAAAGTATATTATTAAAGTATAATATTTTATTATTACAAGAGTAAAAATTTTGTGGTATTAGGGCCCAAGAATTGAGCAAAACTCTTTGGTCCAATGCAAGTTTTTACATCTTAGAAGCAACTCCAAGTATGTAAATAATTCTATTAAAGCAAGGGCAAGAAGGACATGTATTTTAATTGTCCCTTCTATTAAAAATTTAATTATCAATGTAAATTCTCTTATGAGTAGCAATACTTTATAGATAATAATTAATGATATTTATAAAAATATATTAGAAATAGCAAAAAATTATACTTCCAATAGGTTCAAAAAAGAAGCCAAATGAAGTTTGATTTAGCAAATAAACTACTATCTAATACACCTTCATCTTAAGAAGAGATTACAATATGGTCGAAAGACCAAGAAATATATTTTTATTTTGTAAGAGACTAATTTCATGTAATAAAGAGAATTCTTGGAATTATTTCAAATCTAGACTTCTTCTTTAAAATTATCTAAAAATAAAAGGTTTTTCAATTACTTATGGAATAAAAAAAGAGATGGCTTTAGAATTCTAGCTATTTTTGATAAAATTTATATCAACTATTTTTTTAAAGTAATAATTTTAAATAAAAAACTAAAAAAAATGTAATTCTATCAAATAATTTACATACATATTTTTTTCTTTAACTTAATCTTATGTGTTTTCAAAAATAAAGCTTCAAATTCAACACTCATTAGTTCAAAGATTCAAGAATTCAAGACCAAGTAGAAAAATTTTAGACTTTAGTAAAAAAACAAGCACTTTTTAAAATAGAGTTAAATAATCTATAAGATTCTACAAGCAATTTTTCAAAGATTAAGCTCACTTGAGAACAAGAAAAAATTAGCATACAAAAAAAATTAGTACAAGTTTAAATTAATTAAAAATATAATTTTGAATATTTTTTAATTCAACATAATTTAAATTCAGTTTTAAAAACTTTAAAAATAACTCAAAAGAATTAAGAAAAAATAAAATATTAGAAATAAGAAGGTATAAAAATTAGATCTCACATTAAATGTAAAAATTTAGTGAAAGGTACTTCAAAGATTTTTTTAAGAGAGATAAAGAAAGAAATGCAAGGCTAAAGATAATAAGTATTGTTGATAGCTAAGGTCTAAAAGCTTAAGATTAAAACCAAATAAAAAAATCATGTTAAAATTATTAATGTCAACTATAAAATTACTATTTCTGTACCTATAGAAT